TTCTTGACCAGAAAAGTTAAGGTAAGAAAGATATCGATATTTATTATACCATGTCAAATGGCTACACTATGAAAGATTTGGACCTACGAGAATGGCCTGAACCAATATTCGGTTGGAAATAGTGTTTTTAAAAGCTAGCTAGCCAATCGAATCGTACTGCTTATAAGCAGTTGGAATGCCAAAGTTAATGTCAATACACGAAGGTTTGATTCGAATGCTGAAAGTGAGATATGTTGTTAATGAGGTTCTTTAATATGTCTTGGTACTGTTTAAAGTATAAAAAAAGGATGTATAATGTACTTTATAGCTCTTTTACAATTTGTATTTCAATTTCGAAATAGAAAATGCCAAATTGTGAGCTGTTCAAATGCTCCATCAATTTATTCTGTTCATTTATATCATTAACTTGCCCGGACAGATTATTTATTTCTTTATTTTTTTTATTTTCCGAATATCCCCTCTTTTTCACTTTCACTTTAGTAGGGACCATGTAAACGACAATAACACATACTAATAACGAATATGCTTGGTGTCTGTTATGTGAATCTATACCTGGAATGCACAGTCATTAGTTCTAAAATACTTGAACATACAGTATATTATACAGAATACGACAACAATATGAGAATATAAACAAAAAGTAAGAACTGTATACAATAATAAAGATATTCATAAATACTGACAATATTCTTGGTAATGCAGTGGTTGATGAAGTTGATTGAGTATGTAGATTAATATATACAGAGGGTGTAAAGTGAAAGTGGATACCAGAAACAAGACAAGGTAGATAAATAGAGAATAAAGAACAAGCAAAATAAACACTGATACAAATATTATACCAGGGTGTTGATGATGGGGAATGTAGAAGTAGAATGCGCAGTCATTGGGACAGCAGCAGTCGAGCAGATGGTTTAATGGATATAAGTTGTAACAATATGAGAAGTCTAAAAGATGTATGAACTGTATACAGCATCCATAATATACATAAATACTGAGAGTATTTTTAGTGATGCAGTGTCTGATGGGGTTGAATGAGTGTGGAGATCAGTTGTTCAGTAGACTGGGAACATACAGTGGAAGTGGATATATGTATCAACTCAGGGTAAATATATAGTAAATACAAAACAAAAAAATAATAAAAAAGAAAAGGTTAAAAATAAAAATAGATAAACAAACTCTCACACACATATTTAGATTTCTACGGTGTCAGTGATGGGAATGTCGAACATCACAGTTCACTTATCAGGAGAACTGAACATAGACAACGATAGAGTACGTCGATATAATTAGTCAGAGTATGAATGCAGTGCAAGTAGGAACAACTAAATACAGGTGCACCCTTTGAAGATGATAAAGTACACAGTGATGCAGGATGGGATCAGGTGGAATGAGGACATGTTGACCGACTATTCTCTTTTCTGTTTATGAGGTAAAAGAAAATAACTACAGAATATCTAACACGAGTAATTGCTGACACATATGTTGACATAGTGTAGCGAAGGTTGGCATATAAAGCATTATCAAACACTCGTTGATAAACAGTATACACAGCTATGGAATAACAATACATAATATGGTCCGATTAAATTGTACTTGTAAGTAGTTGCTATTAAGGGGATAAGTGATAATACTGACATAAATAGGATCAATATGCATAGAATGAGGATAAAGGTTGGTTATGTATAGAAGTATGGATGCCATGGGAAATTACTGTTGCCTTACAATATTTGAATCGGTGTTATGTATTATAGACTCTTCGTATATGCATACAGAATGACCTGTCGTTTATCTATCTCTCTTGAGTATTGACTGAGGATCTGTGGAGAGAAATATAATAAAATTTGGCATACTCTAATTAATCTGGATTCACACTCGGTAACAGCGAAACATAGACTGGGCATACAATATCTCAATCTTGGATAGCAGTACAAACTAATGATGTGGATGATGAAAACCAGTTTATGCCTGTCTATCTTACTAATACCAATTGAAGATAATAGATCTAATATTGACTTCACCCTCTGGTACACGACGATCAAAATGGATCACCACCGAGCATCACCAATATTTGAACTGAACATACAATATCGTAATGGGCACTCCAGGTACACCTTATCAGTATACATCCTGTTAATTGTCGACTTGATAACTATCATTTGAATCTTGGTTTGGAATACTACAGTTTGTATTGAATGGATACTTTAATTGTGGACTATGTACATTATTTATCTGAGATATAAGGGGTTGTTCTTTTAGAGCTGACCATATATATAACTTATTGGGATTGATAGAGACCAAGTGTTGGCATTCAATAATCTGTGGGGATTATAATAACCTGCTGAGGTGTTTCATTTTAATTTTTTATCTGTATGTAACCTGGATAGGCTTGTTTAATGAGATTGCTGTATCACTTGGATGTATTTATAAAGCGAGGAAGCTGTTGATGGCTGACTGAATATATGAGATTATACATAGTGCTTGGTAATACTATTTTAGCACTGTTATATGTTATCTTTATCATGCTTGATTGCCTTTAAGTGAGTAATACCTTGAACTCACCACACATGATACGCTTCAATATACAAATAGATGCTTTTGGGACGGAGTATAATAATACCACCCTTGTAAGGTTTTTTTTATTCTTTTCTTTCCCATCTTCTCTTTCTTTCCTTTATCTATAATGACTATTCATGAATATAATAAAATACTGTAATAAAGGCATCTGTGCAGTAGATGGAAAGAAGGTAATGACCTTCATCTTCCACATGACAGAAATGTAGGTAACAAATAGTCTGAATAAGTACTATTATAAAATGTACTCATAAATAGTATAGATAGAGACTATAATATGTAGTCAAAGAAGGTACACTACTTCTGTCTACCAATATCAATATATACTCTTTCTGACTGTTACTATCATTCCCTCTGGTGTCTCTCTGAATACTCATAGTTTGGCTTTCCTTATCTCTCTTTATGATGTATTCTTTATTCTTCTACTAGTGTATTCTTTTTATTGGTTATCTATCTGGGAGTGCTCTTTTTGATTATCCATGATGCTTTATCTTCTGGTACGGCTGTTACTCAGTTTTGGTCTAAGGGTTGTCTGTATTCTGCTATCTATGTTGCTTGTCTTATGGTGTTTTGGTCAAAGTGTATACGTAATATACCCAAGAGTAATCACTTATTATCATACTCATATTTCTATTATTTATCAGTGATACTCTCTATGATAAAGTACCTTGTGTTGTCTTATATGATGTATGACTAGATGTTGCTGTATATTCAGTCTGGTACTTATTATTGTATGATGCCCATGTTGTGTAGTAAACTGAATTTCTCTTATTAGATATCTTACTTGTATCAAGAAGTTGTAAGTAACTGATACAACATATAACGAAATCAATACTTATACTCTTATCTATTGATAGTGCTTCCATTAACAGCCCAGCAACAGTACCTCTACCTCTATCATCTACTGAATATCTTGTGTATGGTATGTCATTTACTCTATGTCATAACAATACATGACATTAACTTCCCCTTGCTAATAGGTGCTCTATCTTCTGTTATGTATTACATATGTAAGTACTCGAAATAACATAAAACAATACAATTACTCATACTATTTCTATCTTTAGTTCTATGCTATCTAACCCAACTAATTACTGTATGTGATACTTTCTTGTAAGTGGTATGTATTCTATATGTTATCTGGTATACAGCATACTAATTGGGTTCTTTTTATTAGGTGGAGAACAATGACTAAAAGAAGTAGATGTAAGTAGCTGCCGTGTTGGCTGTATATGCTGTTTACTGACAGAACTTTTTTATCATATAGTATAATCAATACAGCTTAATGAATACCATTATTTTTTTCTGTCACAACGTACACTGCTTACCATCTCTATCCCATCCAACATACAATGCTTACTCTCTCGATCTATCTCAACGTACAATGTTTACAATGCTTTTCTACTTCATGGTGAATCAACAAATGGACCAACCAGCCCTCCCGATCAATACTCATAGCTTAGTTCAATACAATTCTTTATTCTAGTCATAATAAAATACATGTAATATGCATTGCATTCAATTATAGCCATAATAATATCGTCTATCCTATAATATATCTAATAAATCCATCCAATAGTAACCGTATGTATGATATGAATGTATCCAATGGTAAAGCTATACATGAATCTTCTGTCCGGGTAAAAGTCACGTGATTTAAAATGGCCGAGCCGAAGTATTACCAACGGATGTTGGTACAGTCCATTAAATCGTATAGATTTTTTTTGGTTCTAGCTGTCGGAATATTACCAACCTGAGATATGCAATGGCCAAGTTTGGTAGGTCCAAATCTTTCATAGTGTACTTATATACTGGATAAGAGGAATTATACGAGATCAATGAATCTATCTACGGATAATAGTATTAGGGGAAAGGGTACGAATAGGATAATAGTGGGGAAAAGGTGAATGATGAGTGGTTAAGATTCAGAGTAAAACCGGGTGATTGTTAATTAAAACTAATGAGTATTTTCATGAGTGAGTAGAACATAGAAGATAATGTAAAGTAGGAAATGAAAACAGAGTGAATAAGGTTATAAAGATTACAATAAACAATAAAAATGGATATGTCTTGATGGATGGTAACATAATGATCTACATAAGCTATCCCTTACACCTTTGTACTCCCAAAATTATAGCTGATTACCCGAAACAGATGATAACCCAGACTAATACCAACATGAGTGGAGTCACAACAGGTCAATTCAGCAGATGATACATTGTAGTTATTACCCAGAGAAATATACCGAAAGATACGACCAATAACGAGAGAATTAACCTAGTGCTTCAGACTTATAACACCATATATACAGAACAGTAATATCGGTAGAACTACACCTAACAGATGACTAAACACTTTTAACAGAGGAACCAAGAAATAGGAATTTTACCCATAAAAAACACAACACAAATACTGTCAAAATAAGTAAAGGTTTCATGGTGTAATGGTTATCACGTTGGTCTTTGAATCCAGCGATCCGAGTTCGATTCTCGGTGAGACCTCAGCTTAATAAAAAATTGACACTTTTTAAGTTTTGTCAATTTTTTATAACTGTCACCTTTCTTAATAGGTGTTTATAAGTTTGAATGTAAGTTACTTGTTATTTAAGTGATAGGTAAAATAGATGATGTTTATTGAATAAAAGATATTGGGTATTTATATGTTTTTACAAAGGGCTAAGTTATGATTAATAATAAGTATGACAACTTCTTAGTCAGATAATGTATAGAGTGTATATGTTAGTTGCTTTATAATCTATTGTATGTTCTGTGATTTATAATATTGCGTGTGTTCTTTTGATTGCTAATGATCCACCTGATTTGATTGATAATTATGTCATTTCCTAATAAGCAGTATTTGTATAACTTGATAAAATATAGGCGACAACACCCCCTCTTCAAAACGTTGATAGTCCTCGATCAACCAGAAGCACCATTAGCCGAAAACATTCGATATAGAACCCAGAAGATAGATCATAAAGCACCGTATCCATTATTAGTTAGTAGTATCAGCAGAACGGGCAGCACGAGGAATGTACCAAGTGTTTTGGTTTAAGATTAAGTAAGTATAAATAAAAGACTAAGTGGATACTATTAGAACTCTTATTTATTTGTATAATCGATTAAGGGTTATCTAATAACAAAATGGAGGGTATTTATATGTGAACTTGATCTATGATTATTTATCTTGAGTCATTGAATTAAACGAGTAATATTAGGATTAGATGATATGATTATAAGTCAACATAGATGATCTCTATTGTCTATGTAGATGTAGGCTTTGATGTGATTGTTGAGAAGTAGGGTTATACGATCTGTAGATCTGTATCATCTTGACTGCCAAAAGTAGATGAAGGGTAAATTCGATCTCAGCTGATGTAGATGTTGCGTGCTTGATTATGTAATGTTAGGCATCACTACAACACCAAGAGTCATTTATATGATTATCAATAGTCTTGACAGCCTTCAAACGGTCGTTATGTACCCAAGAACTGTATATTTTCCCATCAACTTCCTCAATCTTGTATGTATTGAAGTCAAGGTTACGGTTAATGACTTTGTATGGACCCATCCAGTTATATTCCAATCCACGCTTGTTTTCTTGTCGGAGCAGAACATAATCGAATTTCAGTAAAGATTTGTGTGCTTCTTGATCCCATAGCAGCATCCCATTTGTCTTTGTCACGTAAAGCTTGCTTCTTCATTTCTTCAGTTGCTGTATTACGAGTTTCACGGAGTTGTCTCAGGTGAGCCATCGCATTTTCACCAAGCAGTTCAGGATCGTCTTCTGTTAGGTTATTGATAGAAGGTCGACTTGTATCACCAGGAATCTGTGGGTGGACATCATAAACCAGATAAAAGGGGCTGTGATGTATCCATACAGCATAGTGATAGCAGATACAAGCCACACATCAATTACAACCCAGAATCCGGTTCTCTGGTAATAGCCTGAGTTCCAATAACAGATGATAAGGACAATCTAAATCAGATAACACTCTAATCGTAACTGATTGTACTAACAGCGTGAGAGATCCTTTTACATAACCATGTAATAAAGGCTCACACGATAAGGTACTGCTTATGAGCAATCACTGATAATAGATTACCATCCTAATATCCTTATTGGCTGTAACCACTTGTTCACATACTGATTGTATGTAATCACCTTATCCAAGGTTTGCTTACATACACTTATCCCCAATCCAATTAACTATATAAGAGTACCCGTATTTTGTAATTGTAATAAACATCTTTTTCTCCTTGGTTGAGTTCTATCGTACTTCACGTATCTTTACCTTTAATTTATATAACCGTTTTATCTTTGGATAAATCAGGCTGTATCCAGTTGTATCATGTTTCCTAATCCGGCAAGCGAAGATAGCCTAGTCAACATAATCATCCCAAGAGTGTACGGCACCATGAGCATATTTGATCAGCATGTTCTTGAATGTCTGATTAAACCTTTTACATTTGGAATTGGAACGAGGATGGAAAGCACTGGTAAAGCCATGTTTGGTTCTAATCAGAGTTGTATACTGTTGTAACACTTTTGACATATAATTTGCACCACGATCTGTAATAATTTCTTTAGGGCATCCAAAACTTGAGTACGATTTCTTCATAAATAAACTTCACAATGTTTACACCAGTGGCATCAGGAAGAGCACGAACAATAGGCCAATTAGTGGCATAATCAACAGCAACCAAGATCCAACGATTTCCATTCATAGTTAAAGGGAGCTCACCAATAAAGTCTAGATGCCATCTTGAAAAGGGAGCAGGCACTTCAAGGGGCTTCATCGGAGCATGATGAACATTCCTTTCGGTACGCACTAAGGCGGATTACTTGGAACATATGTCCAGTCATTGGAACGGTTGGTCCGAGTAAACAAGCTGGAGGCACTCTGACATCCCGGTACTTTTTTGTCCAAAATCTCGACATTTGCCAGGACGGAGTATGGGAAATGCCACTACTACGTTCCAGATCTGTATCACTTCTAGCACATCTAAAGTCTATGACTACATAATAATCAACCAATCATTTAATCATCTATCATTAGGAAAAAGCATTCATATTACAGGGTATTATTTGTATTATTGAGCCAATAATCAATATTATTTTATTTATAGAATAGTATTTACAAAAGAGATATATGATACAAATACTAAATGTAAAAGAAGAACATCAAGCATAGAATCATACTATAGAATATAGATTCACATAGAATCTAATCTTCAACCGTAATAGTATTGATTGTCTGTCAGTAAGGGTATCCCAGAAAAAAAGCATATTAAGGTTATCTACAAGACCTAAAGGGTAACAGTTAATAAAAATACACTCTATTCCAATTTCATCACTTACAGGTACACACTCATTTATACCATGCGAAGTAGTTTCAGTTAGATTTAGAACATATCTATAACAGTAATAGTATTAGAGAGAGTAGATAGTGATTATGTATTATTCGACTTACATGAACATATTGTTAGGTGATAAAAAACTAGTGAGGATAAGCAGATATCGTTTTGAGTAAAGAGTATATTAATAGATATAAATAGCGATTACCTCCTGTCAGTGAGAATCATAAGCACTACGACTAGAAGCTTGTATGCTTAAGACGATGACTATGAAGAAAAAGTGAACTATTAGAAATTATCAGAGATTATCTCAATTCATACATACACTACCAGGAAAAACAGCACAAAAGCTTACATTGGTACCACAACTAACAATCAAAACCAGAAGCAAGATCGAATATAATATATTAAGCACAAGTATCATCTGTGAAGATATACTTGGATGGAATGTATCTTCCACCTAAACATTAGAATACCCTATTGATAAGAACAATTGTAAGTACAAATAGAACCAATGTGAGTTAAATCATATCAGCTACCTTGGTTATTATTTCTGGAACAGAAAGGAATAATACCTGTGTGAGAGTAGAGCCATCTGATTAGCAGGACGTGTCATCAAGTGTATTCATTTATACTTGGGAACTATTAGAATACTATCCATTAAAGATAACAACAGTTTGATAGAGACAAGACATATACATAGACCAGAGATATTCTAACAGTTAATTATAATGCCAACAATACAGATCATCAGAATATTTTGTAGTAACGCATGAGAAGTATAAATTTATTAACTTACTAGAAGATATATAAGGATGTGCTAAATAATTAAAAGATGGAAGAGAAAGAGAAAAAAGATCTATCGTACCCATAATACACTATTTTAGTCTGTCATTAATAATATAATGTATACCTACTCCGAAATATATACCTATATAGTTATCATTTCTACAGCAATAAACAAAAATATTTTCGGCTTTAACAGTACTCATTTCACTGATGTCAAGGAATGTAGTTGAAATGAGGGCATGTGATGAGGTTGGAATGAGAGATGACTACCCATTCTGAAAGTAGAAGAATACAAATATGAAAAGAAAAACGATAAGAAAGATATCTAAATTCCTACTATTTATACAGGTATTATTTCTCAGAGAGCTCCCCCATACATTACACACACACACTTAGTAATTTTCACTTGACTGCTTTATTTTATTTATTTATTTTTTTCTCTTTCCCTCCTTTTCAAAACTATTCTATATCCTAACAACATCAAAACTATATAGAGAACAAGGACAAAAGTTATTAAAGGATATATATGCAGTAGGGGAAACAGTTGGTGTAAGTAGATCACAAGTCATTTGAACCCGATGTGTGGAATGAAAGTGGAATGAGTCGTCATCTCGAGTGACCAACTATTTTTGGAATATGAATATTGATAATATTTTTTTTTAGATATTGTCCAGTGCAACAATGGTTATTCATAGAGTATAAGTAAAAGGGAAGTCCTTCGAAAAGAAGATGCGTTGATGAATGTGGCGGATGTGTGGAATGAGTGTTGCAATGAGTAGACATCTGGAGGCATAGACAATTTATACACTATTACAGATTATCATAAATATATAAATATACAAAAATTGATTTATACCAGTTGTTGACTTATGGAAGTGTTGACATGAACAAATGGTGATGGAATGAGGGATAGATAACAATAGGGAGAGTAATAGATTATTGACATATGTCCTAGTATAAGATTATTGTTTAATAGTACCCATGGGATAGAACAAGAATGATATACTTATTGTGGTGAATCAATACAGTGGAAGTTAAGAGATAACGATGTGGTGGAAATAGAACGATTGATTCAAAGTACGATGATCTCCCATAGCCCAGTGATAAACATCAAAATAATATGGACTGGAAGAGGAGTACACAAGAGATGAACAAAGACAAAAGAACAACTGTCAATAACCAAGGAAATAATATTGACTGAATATAACTTAAGGAACAATAATTACTGATGAATAGAAGTGAAATGGCATAGATTATGTCTCTATCGAGTATGTTTATTTTGTTACGGTATAGTAAAGATAATGACTTTCTCTAGAGTAGTCCGATGATATTATATGTGTCGTATTTGCTCCTGA